TGGCCACGCAGACATTCAGGTCTCTCCGATGGACTCGGAGGGACTGGACCCAGATTCGGCCAAACTGGCCGGGGTGGTGGTCGAGGCGTGCCAGCGTAGGGCCCCTTTGGACATCAGCGCTGCGGACTCTGCCGTCGTGTCGGATCTGGAGGACTTTGATGTCACCTGCAGCTCACAGGTGCTGAGCACGCTGGAGCCGGCAACGGAGCCCTTTTCGGAAAGGGACACCTTGGCCATCACCCCGACAGACTCGGACGGAGGGGCCTCACCCAGCCCCGTGGCTGCGGCGGGGCCGGGCTCCTTCCAGCAGTGCTCTCTGGCACCGGAGGAGGAGGAGGAGAATGAACCTGACCCACGGGTGGACGTGGAGCTCGTGGACAGTTGCGCGGTGGCAGTGCTGGTGGCTGGTGGGATGCCGTCTCCTGAGACGGGCACTCGTCCAGCTTCTGGGTTGGAGGGAGCTGGTTACCCCAGCGCTCCGGTGGGGTGGGGTGAAGATGACCAAGACTTCCTGGTCCCTGATGGTGAAGTATCACAACTTCCCGAGGAGACCTGTCCCGGCCGAGTGTCCCCGGCTGGGCTGTCCCCCTGCCAGCACCACGCTCCCGACACAGTGGCGGAGGAGCTGGGGTCCCCCTCCCAGCACGAGGGCAGTGGTGAGGGGACGGATCCATTTGGGACCCATCACCTTCTGCCTGGAAGGACAGAGTTCACCAGCTGGGATATCCCAGAACTGGTTTCTGAGGATGAAGCCACAGATTTTGGGTCAGAGAGTTATGGAGCTGAGGGCCAGACTCCTCCGGCAGAAAGCGGGGATGCTCACTGCGCTTCTCTGCCGCCTTTCCACGCTGGCTCTGCATCAGAGCCGGGCTCGGAGGCTCCGATTACATCCCTGGCGCCTGTTGAGGGACTCCCATGGGAAACGGTTCCCCTGGGCCAGGGCTTGGCTCTGGAAGGGGCTTCCCATGCCGAGGGGTCCCCAGTGGAGGTGGCTCTCGGGCGTGGGGAGGCTCCAGCAGCCATCCTGCAGCCGGGAGACCTGGACTTGCTGTTTGCCGGCACCTGGGAGGAGCGGCTGGTGGCGCGGTGCTGCGCCGCGGTGCTGGCCGAGGGGATCCCACGTGCTGCCAGCCCCGCCGCCACAGAAGAACCTCCCGGCATGTCACCTGCTGTGGGGCAGCCTACTCCCGATGCCACCCCATGGGATGTTGGGGGGCTTTCTGCTCCAACCGACCCGCCAGCACCAGGGGATGTGGCTGTCCCAGAGCCTCAGGCTCAGGAGACACCACCAGCCACTGGGGATCTTACCACGGATGCTGAGGAACCGTGTACTGAGCACCCTCCCCCAGATGCCACCACCGCTGCCACCTCCTTGGCGGTGGAAGAGCTTCTAGATGCCCCACCACCCTTTGCTGATGTGCCTGTTGCCACCGTGCCACTGCAAGCGACTGACCCTCTTGTCTCCAGTGTCGGGGCTCTCGGTGGTGGCCCTGCACCGCTGGCAGCGGGGGGGCTGGTCGTGGCTTTGGGGGATACAGATGACTTTGCCAACATGGTTGACTTCGCCAACATGGTCGTACCACCCATTTTGGAGCACCTTCCCACTGAAGTGCTGGCTTTGGAGGATGACCCCGTTGCAGGAGCAGAGGTGGCAGCTTGGGACAGTGCCTGCATGCTGTCGGGCATGGAGGGTCCCCCCTTTGCCTTCCCACCCCCCCCGGAGGGACCCACCACCCCAGAGCTGCATGAGCTGCCGGGTGCACCCTCTGCCACGGCACCCAATGCACAAACCCTCCCCGGGGCCACCCTCCGTCCCCCCAGCCGTGGGGGTGCCCCTTCCCCAGCACCCGGTGAGGGAGAGGTGCCTGCGAGCACAGAGGGACCTCCCGGCACCGCTCTCCTTGCAGAAGGGCCTCCTGCTTTACCAGATGGATTCGTTCCAGATAACGAGGTATTTGTTGCTCAGGCGCTCGCAGACGGGATTTCAGGCGCAGAAATCGCTTTATTTTCTACTTGAGGGGTGGGTGGGAGATGGGAGCTCGTTTGGTAACTCCCAGCCGTGATCTGCAGGGCTCAGGCTTCGAAACAGCCTTCTCCCTCCTGAGTTCAGCTTGAATTTGGCAGGCAGAAAGTTTCAGGGGGCAATTGTGTGTTTTTTTAAGTAGGGGAGGCAAAAGACTATTGCTGCTTGATGACCTAAAGTACGGTCCTAAACTTTTTTGGCTTATTAAAGTACATTATGGTCACTCAAGATATAAATAACGGACTTCAGAAAAACCTTCTTGCTGACTCCTGGCAGGGTGGTTCCCATCTTTGAAGCTGAAAATTTATTAGAAGAGAGAATCCTGTGAAACAAATTAAGTGCAAATAATTCCTGTCCTGTGCAGTCACCGCTTTCTGTAGCTTTTTAAGTGAGCGATGAGGTGCTGAGGCTCTGAACGTGCGTGGGAAGGGGGTCAAATTCTCTCTGGCGTTTGGGGATTTGCTTTACCGTGCCGTGCTAGTGGCTTTTGCCTGGAGAGACCTCGGTGGTGGAGTTCCCACAGCCGAGCGCTGATTTACTGCCATCTGGCTTAGGAGAAATATCACTAAGGAGACATCAGAAGTTAGTCAGCCCCCAAAATCCCGATTCGGTAGCAATTACTCATCCTTTGGGCTGTGCCACCCGTTTATGAAATGCACATGGAGGGGTTGGGAGAGGTGTTTTCACATGGTGGGGGTCCATGTGAGCACAGGCTGGGGCACCTGGTGTGCGCCTTGGTGAGGGAAAAGCCATCACGTTGTTGCCGTTGTACGTCTGTTGTCTGAAATTCGCTGTCCTGCTGTCAGCGTGTCCTTGCTGGTGGGACCCTTATTTTAGGTACAGCATCTCCGATCGTTAACCCCATAAATCTTCTTCTTGTTCAAACGTTGTTGAAGGCGTTGGCAGCTCCGGGGCGATGCTGGTTCTTCCCGCGGTGGGGCTGGGCTCTGCGTTCGGCCGCGGAGGGGTTAAGGAGCGCGGCCGCCCGGGAGATGAGGGAAGCAGAACACGAGGGGATGCTTTGGGAAGCATTTCTGGGAGCGAGGAGGAGGTGTGGTAGAGCAGATGTCCTTCTGCTCACCAAGATGTCTGTCCAGCCTCTTCGTCCGGGCAGGACACCTCGCTCTGTGCCTTTCCCTGCCCAGCAAAGGGTGTATGTCAAATATTTGTTTCAAAGCTGAGTCACGCTGAGGTTAACGAACTAATGCACTGGACTTTTTCATGAGCAAAGAAAAACAAGTGTGTTGGACATGCTCGCTCCTGAGGCCATTAGTATGATTATCTGTAATGACCCTTGGGCAGCGTCGCGCTCTGGGGCTGTACGGGTTGGGGTGTTGCAGGTAGCCGTGGTCTGATGGCCAGGATTTCTCAGGGCTCCCTCCCTGCCCGGCTGCTTCGAAGCTCTGGAGTTTGTTTTTGCAGCGTGCAGAGGGCTGGGACCCAGCCCGACATGCCAGACTTATCAGCCTGGTCCTTTTGTGGGTTTGGCAGCTCTAACAGCCAACTCCATATATAAACAGTAACAGGAGAAACGTCCGGGCAGTCGGTGATTTTGTGTCACCATTTATTTCTTATAACCGTGGCATAATTCTCCCCGAGCAAACAGCTCTGGACGGTGTCTGCCAGCACACCCTTCGGTGCGTGTCCTGGAGCGGTACCTCCCTGCCCTCGAGTTGCTGAGCTCTGGTGGGAAGAAATAGCTTTTTGTTTGAAAATGGGGCAAAGAAAGTCATGGCGGCCCCTCTTGCTCAGGCTGAGGAACTTGGTGTGTATGTGTTTGGAGTTTGGTTTTGTGTGTTTGGGGTTTTTTTTTTTTTGCCTTGTGTTCCTTCGGAGGCACAGCGGTTGTCGGGTCGGGAGAGCTGTGCCATCCACCAGCCGCTGCTCTGCCAGGAGAGATTTTGCATCTGAGTGGGAATTTTTCAAAGCCATGAATGTTGGTTTATTCTCGGGCGCGTGAGGAGGAGGAGGCACGCTGGAGAAAGCAGGCAGCTGGCTGCAATCCCCTCCGCTGCCCAAAGAGAAAACGTTGCGACAGGGCCAAGGGCGCCAATCCTGTCCAGCGCTGGGGGCAGGGTGACCCGTGCTCTGGACGGGCTCGTGGTCCAAGGCCCCAGAGCAAGCGATGAAGGAGACTCCGCTCCGTTTTTTGGGGGGCTTGTGCCGTGGATGTGGGGAAGCAGCAGCCCTGTCTCTTGGGACCGGGCTGTGCGGCCGCCCCAGCAGAGCCGGAGCGGGACCGTGCCCGGGCGGCTGCGTCAGCCGGTGGTTACAGCAGATCCACAGCTCTGATAAAGGGCACTTATCTCCTTCGCGGAAACAGGATTTTCCCTGCTGCCTCTCGTTACAATGGGGAGCTTCATTCCCTCTCCTCCCCCTTTCCTATCAAATCTTTTTGGGTTTAAAAAGCTTTTCCCCGCAGGATTCCCAGGCAGGACCATGCCAAGTACGCGGTGTGGTAAACGACTGGCACATTAATTGCCTCTTGCCTTTGTCTTTCGAAATACAACCAGCTTCTCAGTGTCTGTAATTTCATGGTTAACAAAACTCACGTGATGTCAGGTCCCTGTTCTCAATGGCATCACTGTGAGAATTGCTTGGAGTTGTTCCCCGGGAGCGTTATTTCCCAATCTGGTGGCTGACCAGAGCCGATGCTCTCATTTCTTCCCCGATTTGCTCTCCCCACCTCACTCCAGCGCTTGGAAAAAAGGGGGATTTACCCATTTAAAAGCAGAGATGGATGCGTATAGATCCTGAGCTGTGCTCCACACCAGAGGATGCTTGCGACATCTGTGTTACTAGGTCAAGGCCAGGGAGGAGTTTAAACAAACTTGCACAACTCTCGTAAAATCAGTGCAAGTAGCTGCTGCATCTTCCTAGAGAAAAAAGTCTGTTGTAGCTATTGAATGATGGAGGGGCTGTAAGAGCAGCTTATGGGTTATAAATACCTTTTCTCTCACACCCTTCCCATCCTCAGCTGTTCCAGAAGGAGCAAGTGGATCCCCTCCAGCTAAAACTACAGCAAGTCAATGGAGTTGGTCAAGGGCTCATCCAAAGCGCCGGGAAAAACTGTGACGTCCAAGGGTTGGAGCATGACATGGAAGAAATCAACACCCGCTGGAACACCCTCAACAAGAAGGTGGGAGTGTGGGGAGGGGCTGTAGCTGTTTTATTTCAGCCTCATTGGGGTCTGGTAGAAGAAGGGGGTCACTGAGAGGGAGTTGAGGCTCCGGCGTTGATGCATCACCAGCCTGACCGTGCAGTGGGGTTGTGTTTGGGGTGCAGGTGGCCCAGAGAGTTGCTCAGCTGCAAGAGGCCCTGTTGCACTGCGGGAAGTTTCAGGACGCCCTGGAGCCGTTGCTGAGCTGGCTGGCGGACACCGAGGAGCTCATCTCCAACCAGAAACCTCCCTCTGCAGAGTACAAGGTGGTGAAAGCCCAGATCCAGGAGCAGAAGGTGAGCAAGCACAAGGCAGCGATGGGAGGGGGAGCTCTGGACAGCCAGACAAGATTTTGGGGGTCCATCCGTAACAGCTAAGGTGTAGCTGGGACATCCACAAGCCTCCTTCTTTCCTGGTGACTCTTCTGCTGGTTCCCCACATTCTAATGTAATCAACAGGCAGCTCGTTTGCCCACGTTCACTATCTCCATCATCTAAATCACCAGCGTTGCTTTATTGTCCCGCTGCCTCTTGAAGTTTGTTGCTGGTTTTGCTGGTCAGCCGTGTTTTTCCAGCCCTAAGTTTTGTTTGTGCTGGTAATTCTGCTGCGTCAGGAGCAAGCTGGCGTTGTAGGTACCGGTTTGGGTATTTGGACAAAACAAATGTACAAACTGTAAGAACCGACCGGAGGCGTGCTGGTGTTTGCAGAGATAACAGCCTGGGTCGGCGCCTGCCCTTGTGAGCAGGCAGATGAAAGTTCAAGTGTAGTCGGGGTAAAATATTTTAGAAATGAATTCTTACCAAGGCTTGGTCCGATGTCTTGAGACTTTGAAGAGGAAATTTATTTAAAGTGGAAGTTAAAACCTGATCTTGATAAGCTGGGGTGGGTGGGTGATGGGGAAGTCTCTGAATACTTCTCTGGCACAAAAGTGCTTTGAATCTCTTTTAGAATAGAATATTTCAGTTGGAAGGGACCTACATCCAACTGCCTGACCGCTTCACGGCTGACCAAAAGTGAAGGCATATTACTGTATTACTACCCTTTTTTTTGAACTGGTTTTGATGGCAGAGGCTATCATGCTGGGCTGGCTTCGGCCTCAGCCCCGTGCTTATGGTGGTTTGCAGCCACAATTAGAGATTTGCTATTTCTGAGGGCTAGAAGAGGTTCTGCTGATCCAATCCGGTAACTTTTATCCTCCTTTGTTTCACTGCTGATGCTAAAGCTGCTCCAGCGACTCCTGGATGATCGCAAAGCCACCGTTGAGATGATCCAAGCGGAGGGAGGGAGGATCGCCCAGTCAGCTGAGCCTGCAGACCGGGAGAAGATCGTGGGGCAGCTGGAGAGCCTGGAGCGGCGCTGGGCAGGGCTGCTGGGCCGGGCGGCCGGCAGGTGAGGGGGGCTGTACCACTGGCCAGAACCGCGGGGCCAGCTCATCCTGCGACTCCCGGTGCCCCGGAGCTTGGGCTTACAACACGTGGGGAGCTGGCAGAGCTTTCTGTGCAGATACATCCTGGAAACAGCTGGAAAACATGAGAAATCAAAGTCTGTTTGGGGAACTGAAGTTGATAACAGCGGTTTACAATGGCAGGGAAGAACTCAGATTAAATAAATTCCCTGCAGGGGATGGATGTTATTTTTATTCCTTTAAGCGTTAACATTTAGCTTTAGCAGCGACATCCTGTTGACACCTTTATGCTGCCTGCGTCGTGTTTACGAGCCGCTTGTTGCTACACAAGCCAATATTTGAGGTTACGAAGTCACTTCTGAGGGCCAGATTTGACCCTCCCAGTGTTTTAAATCACTGCCAACTAGATGGGCTAGGACTTGTGCCAGTGCCAGGCTGTCTTTGAACAGAAGCTCAGCAGCTCTGCAACACCGAGAGCCTGGCCACAAGCTGAGCATGTCAGAGGATCTCTGAGATAGTGATAGGAACAGAAGAAAGAGCAGCACAGTGGGGGAGCCTTGCTGTCACCTCCCCAAGGGGGATAAACTGCACCCTAAAGGCACAGCTGTGGGAAAAAAGCTTATTTTGCAGTTTCTCCACTTTGATTTTTGTGTCTGCCTTTGCAGCCGTGGTGTCCCACCTCGCCCTGAGCAGGGCTGCTTTGGTTCCTTCTTCCTAATGCTCGAAGCTGCTTCCGATGCCGGGCTCCAGCAGGGAGCCGCTTCTTAGTGTTTTATTTCTTACTGTAGGCAGAAGCAGCTGGAGGACATCTTGGTCCTGGCAAAGCAGTTCCATGAAACCACGGAGCCCGTGTCGGACTGGCTGTCGGTGACGGAGAAGAAACTGGCCAACTCTGAGCCCATCGGTACCCAGACTGCCAAAATCCAGCAGCAGATCAGTCGGCACAAGGTAGGAGCCGTGCGTGAACAGGAGCTGCTGATGGAGGTGGTTGGTATCGGGCCCCGCTCAGGTGGTTGTTTCTGCCGTGGCGAGGGGGTTTTTGGCACGAATGAGTATTGGAGGAGTTATCCAGGCTGCTTTACGTACAGAGAAGGCTGCAAACCCTAACCCGCCAGTGTGGGTAAATACTAAACTGATGTCTTTGCACCTCGAAAGTATCTGGCTCTGGATAGGAAAACCCTTCCTGTTCTTGTGTTTGTTTTAAATTTTTTTTGATTTTGCTGCAGTTTGCCCATTCACGGGTGGGTTTCATGCATCCTTCATTCCTTCAGTTGCATTCATTGTTTCCGTTTCCCCATTTACCTTTGTTTGTTGTTTGTTTTGTTTGGTTTTTTTTTTTAATCCTTTTTTTTCACTCATTTTCCTTTCTGTTGTCCATTTTATCCTCCCGGCATTCAGGCTCTAGAGGAAGAGATAGAGAGCCACGTGGCCGACGTGTCTCGGGCGGTCGGTGTCGGGCAGTCCCTCTCCTCCCTGAGCTGTGCCGCTGAGCGGAGGCTGCTGGCAGAGAAATTAGACTCTCTGCAGAGCCGCTACGGCGAGGTCCACGACCGGTGCTGCCGGAAGGCAGCGCTGCTGGATCAGGCGCTCTCTAACGCCAGGCTCTTTGGGGAGGAGGAGGTGGAAGTGCTCAACTGGCTGGCTGAGGTCGAGGACAAGCTCGGCTCGGTATCCGTAAAGGATTACAAACGGGACGTCCTGCAGAAGCAGCATGCCGACCAGCTGGTATTTTCCATTTTTCTCCCATGTTTATGTTTATTTTGTTGCATTTATCCGGTTTTATTTTTGTTTCTGGGTCTGACTTTAATTTTGCAAAAGTTTGTTCCACTGCTGGTTCTCTTCTAGGCTTGGAGAATTGTAAAGAGATTTCATGTGTTAAAAAACAATAATTGCGGCCCCAAAATTGGGTTTCCCGGGGTTGGAGGGGGGTGGAGGGGGAACTTCAAATGATTCATTTGCTTTGTGAACAATGCCTGAGCAAGCTTGGCCACCCCATGCCTTTAGAAAGCTGGATGCTGTTTCCAAGAATGAGAGCTTGAAAAGCCCAGTGGGTTTTTTGAGCCAGGCTGGCCACCGAGGAAGCCGTCTGCTTCCGCTCCCCGGGGGCCGTGCAGGCTCTTTTCAAGAGTGAGGTTATGTCTGATACAAGGGCAAGTTCTCTGCTAACACGTATCCAATGGGTTGGGCTGGGTTTGCTCTAAGATTTGAGCCTTTGGGTCCCAGAAGTGCCAGTAAGTCCCGTAGCAGGAGGAAGCTGACTGGACAAGTATCAGATCTGTTGTCCACCCTTCCCGTGGTTGGTGAGAGCAGTTTGTGCTCTGCTTCATGTCTCTGGCCAGCAGGACGTGGGGATCTGCCTGCATAAGGATAACCTCGATTTGCCTTTCTGTGCAGGCCTTGAATGAGGAGATTGTGAACAGGAAAAAGAATGTGGACCAAGCCATTAGAAACGGGCAAGCTCTTCTGAAGCAAACCACAGGTAACACAAAGATCTGGGCGTGCTCTGGGAACCTCCCCCATCCTCGGCGTGTTCTCCCTCAGGTCTGATTTCCTTCTGGATACTCCCAAAGTAGCTGGTTTCTATCCAGACCTGGATGCTGAGCCACAAGCTCTCCAGCTTTAGCCCTTGGTTGGTCCCAGGTACCAACCTCGCAGCTTTGTGAGCGGGTGATTCCCACCACCAGCACGGTGATGCTCGGCACTGAGGGAGGGTTTTCTCATCGCATCCAGCTGCTAAATCACATGGAAAGAGGTTAAAAATACACCCAGCCCTTTCCTAATATTGCTTTCCCATACTGAGCAGTTGTTGCTGTTGCCACGTGGGTGTGAGTTTATGTTTACGAGTGGGAAGAAAGGTCGGGGCGATGCATTTCCTTCAGATGTGGTGCGCTCGGAGCAGATGTACAGGCCTCTGTCCTTGTGGGAGACTTGTAGCAGGAAGAGTGATTACAAAGAATTTGGCTCGCAGTTTCTTGCCCTCTTGGAAATAGCAGTAAAGAGTGAACTGGACCTTCTTTCTCGGAGCTGTGACACGTTAGTTGAAAACTTTGAGTTGTGGTGGCTTTGGGGCTTGTGGCAAAGCCGGGCTCCGCGACACGCTTCCTTCCTATTACAGGGAGGAGGTGGACGTTACGCTGGCTGGTAGAAAATGTCAGTTCTAAGAGTAGCTTCCTGGCTGTAAAAATAGGCTGTGAAGTTCCACTGACTTACAGAAAAGTGAGACTGAGATCAGCTATTTAAAATGGAGGGGAAGAGGGCAAGTGGCTGCTTGAACCTTCGTGCAGCCCCCCTGCAGCCCAGCATCATTGCACAGAATCATCTAGGTGGGAAAAGACCTTGGAGATCATCCAGTCCAACCATTAACCTAACACTGACAGTTCTCAACGACACCAGATCCCTAAGCACTATGTCGACCAATTTGCCCCGTGCTGCTGTCTCGCAGGGGAGGAGGTGTTGCTGATCCAGGAGAAGCTGGATGGAATTAAGACCCGCTATTCGGACATCACCGCCGCCAGCTCCAAGGCTCTGCGCACGCTGGAGCAGGCTCGGCAGCTGGCCACCAAGTTCCAGTCCACGCACGAGGAGCTCGCCAGCTGGATGAGTAAAGTGGAGGACGAGCTGGCTTCCAGTGGGGGACAGTCCCCTGCCGGCGAGCAGATACCCCAATTCCAGCAGAGACAAAAGGTGGGGGCTGGCAGAGCAGTACCCGGGGGACAGGGACACGAGGGTGGGAGTTGGTGGGGGTTTGCTCGTTGTTTTGAGAGGCTGGGGAGGAGCTGGAGGGGGGGGGGAGCGCTGAGAGGGACACGTGTCCGTGGGTGCCTTCCACAGGAGCTGAAGAAGGAGGTGATGGAGCACAGGCTCGTCCTGGACACGGTGAACGAGGTGAGCCGAGCTCTCCTGGAGCTGGTTCCCTGGCGAGCCCGCGAGGGGCTGGATAAGCTCGTGTCAGACACCAACGAGCGCTACAAGCTGGTCAGCGACACCATCAAACTGAGGGTGGAAGAAATCGATGCTGCTATTCAGAGATCTCAACAGGTGATTTAATTACGCCGCCGGAGGCTGACGGGTTTTCTTGGGAGAGTGGGAGCGAGCAGCTCGGCAGCGCGATGGTGGTGGGAGGGATATAGCAAGCACAGCCCATCGGGAGGGCCAGATCCCATCAGCAATGCCAAAAAAGAAAAAAGAAAAGGCCTCGCCAGCGGCGTGTGGCAGCGGGGCTGGTCTCTGACCCATCCCATGTGTGTGGCTTGGGTCGGAGAACTCTGGTGCAGCGCCGCGTTATCCTGCCAGCGGGCTTTTGCTTGCGTGGGTGATGTAAGATAGTGTAAAACTGATGACAGGTGACTTTCAGGCCTGGAAAAATGTCATTCCCTGTAGTGATAGCGCAAGGATTTGTTCCAGGCGAACAGTCCTCCCAAAAAAAGGCTCGTTCTGCACGGATTGGAGCCTGTGGAGTGCTGTGAATAGCTGCCCTCGCTGGCTTTGACCGCTGACTCCACGAAGCTGAACGTGCAAAATGATGGTGTAAAAGAGAGGCATCCCTTTCCCCGTGGGCAGGGAGGGTGTAGAAGGCGGCGGCTGCTCGCCGTGCCCCGCTGTGCTGGGTGCCCCAGAACCAGCTGCCGGCCGTGGGACAGTGCCTGCTGCTCCTCTCGGAGGGGAGCGTGGAGTCAGAACTCTGTGTCCGCCCCCATGTCCCCTTCTCCTCCCCACCTCTACACCCGGGTGAAGCGTTTGTCCCCCGTGTCTCCCCGGCTCCCCTCACTGTCCCCAACGTGCTGTGTGCCCCGTCCCTGCTGCCTGTCACTAACCTGCCTGTCCTGTGCTCCGGGTGCCAGTACGAGCAGGCGGCCGACGCCGAGCTGGCCTGGGTGGCTGAGACCAAGCGGAAGCTGATGGCCCTCGGTCCCATCCGCCTGGAGCAAGACCAGACGACGGCTCAGCTGCAGGTGCAGAAGGTACGTGCGTGGCTACAGGCTTGGGGAGGGGTGGCTGGAGCTGTCTGGAGGAGAGGGATCTGGGGGTTCTCATTGACAAAGAGCTGAACAGGAGCCAGCAGTGTGTCCAGGTGGCCAAGAAAGCCAGCGGCATCCTGGCTAGCAATAGTGTGACCAGCAGGAGCAGGGAGGTGACAGTCCCCCTGTGCTCGGCACTGGTGAGGCCACACCTGGAGGGTTGTGTCCAGGTTTGGGCACCTCAATCCCAGAGAGATCTGGAGGGGCTGGAGCGAGGGCAGAGGAGGGCAACGAGGCTGGGGAAGGGCCTGGAGAATAAATCCTGTGAGGAGCCAGGGAAGGAGCTGGGAGTGTTCAGTGTGAGGAGGAGGAAGCTGAGGGGAGCCCTCATCCCTCTCTGCAGCTCCTGACAGGACATTGCAGAGAGGCCGGGGCTGGGCTCTGCTCCCAGGGGATCAGGGACAGGACAAGAGGGAACGGCTGGAAACTGCCCCAGGGGAGGGTCAGGCTGGGCAGGAGGAGAAAATGTTTCCCAGCAGGAGTGGTCTGAGAGTGGAACAGGCTGCCCAGGGAGGGGGGAGTCCCCATCCCTGGGGGGGTTTAAGGGCCGTTGGGATGAGCTGTGGGCTAGGGGAGAACTTTGTAGAGTTAAGCTGATGGTTGGACTCGGTGATCCTGAGGGGCTTTTCCAACCTGAACGATTCTGTGTGCTCGCTGCTGCAGCGGGGGCAGCGAGGAGGGATGTGGTTGGGCTGCTGTTTAGGGGGGCAGCTGTACCCTGGAGAGGCCTCTGAAGTTTGTAGCACTGAGCACAGGGAAAGATGCAACACTTGTCCTTGGTAAGCAAGAGTCAAAAACAAGGGAGAAAGAGGATTTAGAGAATGAAAGCGTTTGGCTTCTAAAGGAAGAAGCCTCCTGTCCGTCTGCAGGAGCCAAAACCTTTGCGCAGCCCTGCAGGGCTGCCTGGATGCTCTTACCTGGTCTCCCCGAGAGAGAGAGAGCTGCTCCTTTCAAAGCCTCTCCCTGGGGCCGCTGGAGCAAGCTCTGCCTGGGTCTGCAGGCGCTGGCAGCAGGAAGGGTTGAGAGAAATGTATATATTGATTAATGAGGGTGCTTTTACATTTGCTTTTTGCTCATTGTTCTTTGCAGTGGGGGACTCCTCGTTTCCCTCCCGCAGCCAGACGTGGAACAAAGAGACACTGGGGTGGTTTTTTTTTTTTTATATCTTTGAGATGAGCTCATGCCTGAAAGAACGTGCACTTTAAATAAACGGCCCTTTTCTCCCTTTACCAGCCTCGGCAATCAGAGCAGCATACGGGCTTATTGGATTTAAAAAAAAAAAAGAAAAAAGGAAAATAAGACATTGTTATAAAGGAGGGGGACTGAACCGTCAGGCATTAAGTTAAATTGAGCTCAGCTTGGCTTCCTGCTGTTAATCGCGTGGACCTTGGGAATGGCAAAGTTATTGGTAGATGCAGTTCTGGAGAGCATCGTTGCAGGGCATTAACGTTTGCTAATGAATGGATGGTGGAGCTTTTCCTCCGGCGAGGACCCTGAGTGTGGAAGTGGACTGATACCTCATTTTAAGAGCCGTTTTCTGGCCTTTGAATGAGAGAGGTTGATGCAGATGAGTCATGAGAAAAACATGCAGTAATCTGCATTTTCAGCCAGATTTTCAGCGTGCTGCAGGACGCTGGTGCTGAGTTTTGCGTGGTCTCTGCGGCGCCGAGCTCTGCTGCAGCTGGCACCGGCAGGAGGGTCCCGTGGATGGGCTGGGGGGAGAGAGGTTGGGCCCGGCTCTGATTTCTTTCCTTTCTTTGGCTGTTTCCTTTCTGCAGGCTTTTTCCATCGACATTATTCGACACAAAGACTCTATGGATGAGCTGTTCAGCCAGCGCAATGAGATCTTCGGGACGTGTGGGGAGGAACAAAAAGCTGTTCTCCAGGTGAACCTCCCTCTGCTATTTGCTGCGACGGGGGAGACGGAGAGGGGAGAGAGGCGAATGCTCAGTTCTCGCACAGCCTGAAGTAGTTTAAAATTACTCCATCTTCAGTAATTCCCTCCAGCATTAGCAGAAATCTCTTTACATTTATTACTCTCCTTTATTGCATGTTTTTATTGCAGTGTTTGGGGGTGGGGTGGGACAGTGGAGATTTCTGAGGTTGCTTTAATTGGAATTACAGCTTGCACGCGTGGAAGGCCACCAAAGGCACCTCCTGCTCTTCCAGCTCGCAGCGTGCAGCTGGCGCTTTTCCTGGGCCCTTTTACATCTCTCACTATAACTCTCCTCCCTCTTTTTTTAGGAGAAAACCGAATCCCTGGTGCAACAGTACGAAGCTGTGAGCCAGCTCAACTCAGAGCGTTACGCTCGCTTGGAGCGCGCCCAGGTCCTGGTTAACCAGTTTTGGGAGACCTACGAGGAGCTGAACCCGTGGATCGAGGAGACACAAGCCCTCATCTCCCAGCTGCCCCCTCCGGCCATCGATCACGAGCAGCTCAAGCAGCAGCAGGAGGACATGAGGGTAAGAGGACATGGAGTTTGCACCTCCTGCGCCATCGTTTTTTCGACTTCAAACAAAAGCGCGGCACTCATAGGGGCAAGAGTGCCTTTTCTCTGAATTTTTCTGATTTTTCTTCCCTTTCTCTTCTTTTTGGGGATCCTGCCTATGTAATACAAGTGTGCCACGAGCGTACCATTGTGGAAATCACTAGTTACGTTGGAGCACTTCTTGCTAAAGTACAGATCGCACCCAAGGGAGCCTGGCTGCCTTCGGATCTCCTGCCTGATAGTGGCAGGGAAAAGCACTTTGTGCTTTTAGGGTAGGGAGCTGCAACACGAGTTTTCTCAGTGGTGTCCCCCGTGGGGAGGGTCTGGAGGTGGCCGTGCCGGGCGATGTGCCGGTGCGTGCAGAGCCGTAGCCATGTTAGGAAGAGCTGAATGCCACGTGCTTGGCAGATGCTGGGTCAAGAAATCAGCGGTGTGAGTTCGCTACCAGATACATTCATTGCTCTTGGAGTGTTGCGTGGAACAAATAGGCAGCAGCTTTCAATAGATTTTTAAACCAATTTATTTTTTTTTTCCCCCTCTATTCCCTAGCAACTGAGAGAGTCCATTGCTGAACATAAACCTCATATTGACAAGCTGTTGAAAATCGGACCGCAGCTCAAGGACCTCAACCCCGAGGAAGGGGAGATGGTGCAGAAAAAGTACTCGACGGCTGAGGCCATGTATGCCAAAATCAAGGAGGAGGTGTGCCAGCGGGCTCTGGCGCTCGACGAAGCCGTCTCGCAGTCCACCCAGGTAGGCTGGGGTGCAGAGGAGCCGAGTCTTCGCGTCGCAGTCCCCTGGGGAAGCCACGTGCTTTGAAATGTGGTTTTATTCTGAGCGTTATGATCGTAAAGCCCTTTATAAGGCACAAAGTGGTCAGACACCTCCAGGGAGGTTTCCCGCTGCTCAGCTCTGGCTGTGAAAGCAGGGGCAAAGGCGTTTGAGTCTTGACATGGTAAATAGGGTAATAAAAGTTTTACAGCCTCAATAATGATGCAAGTTCAAAGGGGCTGTTTTGGCATCCACCCAAGGTTGGAAGGGCCTGGAGAGCCTCTTGAAAGAGCTCGGAGAGATAAGTTTCATTTCTGATAAGCTGTGCGTGCAGTGAACAGCCGTGGGATCCTTTGTATGGGAGAGTTAACGGTCGTCTCCAGGGTCTGGGCATCTCCAGAGAAGGTCAGTGACTGCAGAGGCAGAGATAGGAAAGGAAAGGCAGAGGCTGTAGGTGCTAAAGTCCAGACAGGGGGTGAAGAGTTTCTGCCGCGGAGGGTTTATGACCCCTAGTTATGTTTCATTTCACCCCGTGTTACCGTAGCACAGTTGGTTTTCGTCGTGTCTGGGTGTTTTTTGTTTTTTTTTTTTTTATTCCTGTATTGTGTAGTCACTTCTCTTGGTTTGCACTTGTATTAACTCCGAGTTTTTCCCCCCACACCCCCGTCCCGTCTCATCTCTCACTCCCATTGTGGAATGTGTTATCTGTGTGTGTTGCTGCCTGTGCCCGTCCTCCCCACATGGTCCCATTTCATTCTTGTGTTGACTGCGCCCCACCATTGCAGATTACAGAGGTAAGCCCCACCACCACAGATGTTCATTTACGCTCTTTCTTTGGCCTGATTCTATTTTACACCTGGACTTTTATTTCTGGTCCGTGCACAGCCCAGCAGAACGCGCTTAAAAATTAACTCCGGGGGCCTGAAATCACATTTGTGAGATGGCTTTCGTTGCGTTGCTGCCCGGTCTCGGTGGGAAGGCCGTTGGGAATGCTTCCTGCAAAGCTGAGGTTTTGCTTTCAGAGCGATTGACACCGATGCACAGAGCTTTCTGCTCTAGCTGGACCTGCTGGTTTGCTCTTGCTTGTTGGCTGAGCCAAGCCTGCCCGGATCAACTTTGCCCCGAGAGCCCGTCTCCTCTCTGCTGCTAGAGCCTGGCCCTTGGCAAACACCGGCACCGGTGTCCTGCAGAGAGGGACCAGAGCTGGCAACCAGAGCGCAGAGCTGTCCTCCTCGCCAGCAGAGATGCTTTGGGATCTTTAAGGCCAAAGTTGACTTTTCTGTAAAAAAATAACGATAAACCCTACTAGACCCGCTTCCCCTCTCACTCTTGGCTTTCTGGTTCTGCTTTTGTTGAAGCCCCAGCTCCGTGGCAGCTCGCTCCTCCCCGTGCGCATGCCGCCTGCCACCATCTCCCGCTGACCCTGCCGGGGTGGTTTTCTTGCTGGCATTGGCACCAAGCGGGAGAATTTTCCGTCGGCACCAAAACCAGGCGCTTTTCCTGCAGCGTCTTTGCACGGATGCTCAAACAGCCGGGTTTTTCTTGCCACACTGCCTGTCCTCAGGACGCAGGACAGCGGTCAAAAAATGTGAATTTTGTAAGGTTGAATCCGGTGCCGAAATCGCTGCCGCGTTTGGTTGCTGGTGCCGGCTCCGTGGGTCTGTACGGCTGACGTGGGGTTTGAGCTGATGCAGCCTGGGGCTGTTGGCAGCGAAGGCAAGCAGAGGCAGGTGTGAGCAGGAGGCTGCAGGTTTGGTTGCTGTTGCAGGCAATGTTTGTCCTCTCCGAGAGGCCGCTGGGCGCAGCACTGAGGGCTGGCGCGCACGCAGGGAGCGCTGCGGCGTTGCTTCATCTCCTCTCGCCCGCCCTGATGGAATTGCTCTTCTCCAGTTCCACGATAAGATTGAGCCCATGCTGGAGACGCTGGAGGCCCTCTCCTCCCGCCTGCGCATGCCGCCCCTCATCCCCGCCGAGGTCGATAAGATCCGGGAGTGCATCAGCGAGAACAAAAATGCCACCGTGGAGCTGGAGAAGCTGCAGCCCTCCTTCGAGGCTCTGAAACGCCGCGGGGAAGAGCTGATCGGTCGATCGCAAGGAGCAGACAAGGACCTGGCAGCAAAAGGTATCTCCAGGTGGACTGAACGGGAGGTGCTGGCTGGGCTGGTGGCAGTGCCCAGCTTCTCCTGCCCAAATCGTGGCTCCATCACTTTGATGTCCCAGGGGTGTATTTCAGAGGCTCTTCCGGCCTTTGGAGGAAGGATGAATCCTCTGTGTGGAGAGATCTGGTGGCTGCTCCCATCTGGAGCAGCCAGGGTGGCATCAGCCAGAGAAAAAAGAAGCATTTATGAGCTGAGCCCTCACGCTGAGCTGGTCTCTTGTGGCAACCATTGGTGGCCCCTGTGAAATGATTTGTTGGTGTCGATTCAGCATCTAATGGAGGGAAGGAACATCCCCAGCACAAAAAGTCCTGTCAACACGATTGGCACTAATTGGCACCTTTCTTGGCAGCTCAACAGCCAGCTCATGGACTGAGTGAGCGTAGACTTCACGCTAGAGGTGGCCAGAACAGAGGTTCGTTGGAGGAGAGTGTATGGGCAAATTTGCCCTGAGCTAGCCTGCACATAAATAAAGGCTTTATTTCTGCAAGCTGGAGTTTCTCATGTCCCTCAGTATCTCTCAGAGTTAATGCTCTGATAGTCATCTGTAATCCCCATTTGAATATTCTCTTGGCTCTTTCTAAGAGGAAAGTGTTTGCAAAATGCTTTTGAGTTGTGAAAAGGTTTTCTTCTTCACGGAATGTTTTTATTCCCTTCCTCAGTAATCCAGGATAAGTTGGATCAGATGGTCTTCTTCTGGGAAGACATCAAAGCTCGGGCGGAGGAACGTGAAATGAAATTCCTTGATGTCCTGGAGCTCGCAGAGAAGTTCTGGTACGACATGGCAGCCCTCCTGACTACCATCAAGGACACACAGGACATCGTCCACGACCTGGAGAGCCCAGGCATTGACCCCTCCATCATCAAGCAGCAGGTGGAAGCGGCAGAGGTGAGCACCATGGGACTGTACCTCAGCCTGGAGCTTGTCTGTACCCAGCTTGTAAGCTAAACTGGGACAGATCTCACACGTGAGCGTGGCTGTAAAATAGTTTTGTAGGCAGGCAGTCGGATTATGGGATGTTTTTTCCATCGCAATTTGGAACTGCAAGGAGAAAAAAAAAAAAAAAAAGCTTATTTCACATATCCCTCCCCACCACCACCACCCCCTGTTCCAGACACGGAAATGATGCTTAAATCACTTTATCTGCTACTGTTTTGGGAAGTTTATCAAGCGTGTGGCCAGAGTCGTGTGCCCACTTGTTCTGAGTGATGTGAGAGTTTGCACGGTTCTGCTCCCAGTCTGAGCCAAAGGCATCCGAGTGCTGCCTAGCGTGGGAAGTGTATATTTAGCTTTTGGTTAGACTGGAGATAAGTGTGAAGCTGGATGGGCTTGGATTTGTGTGTTGTTGGCTGTTTCAGAAGTGGTGAAATCCACTTCAGGTGGATTTGACTTGACTTGGACCTGGGGGAGCAGGGATGTTTCTTTATGCTTTGCTACATTTGTCCTTGCTATTTCCTTTCTATAACCATTCCGACTCTGCTTTGCCGCTCTTGAGTCTCAAAAACCTAATTCCTGTACTGACAAAATACTCCTGTAAACAGTACATCTCCTGTAAACAACATCCTCAGCCAGGCACACGTCAAGACAAATGCAGATGTTCTTATTTTAGTTCCCCCGTTGCCACTGTGGGCAGAGGTGGGAGCAGACGATGGTGGGGGCGATGCTGGTGAGCAGGATGCAGCCGAGTCCCGGAGCGGGCGGTCAGGGTGCAGCACACCAGAGCAGGAAGGACTCTCTGTGCTTTAGCCCTCCTGTTCAGGGGGCAATTTTGGAAGAGCATTTAGTAATAAACATTTTTCATCGGTGACTTTGTTACATGCAGACTATTAAAGAGGAGACGGACGGCTTGCATGAAGAGCTGGAGTTCATCCGACTCCTTGGAACTGATTTAATTTTTGCCTGTGGCGAAACTGAGAAACCAGAAGTGAAAAAGAGCATTGATGAGGTAGGAAAACCCAACAGTTTTTCCTTCAGATAACATCAGGTAGGAGCAAGTGGGAGCTCCGGTTGAAGAGCCTAACGAATTTTGTGGGCAATCTTGTGTTCCGCAGATGAACAACGCGTGGGAAAATCTAAACAAAACGTGGAAGGAGAGGCTTGAAAAGCTTGAAGAAGCCATGCAGTCGGCTGTGCAATACCAAGATACGCTTCAAGTAAGAGGCAGAGCTGTTTGTGTGGAGTGGGTGGACCTTGGGAACACCACTGCAAATCCTCTCCCTGGGGTGCACAAACACAAAGCAGAAAACCTCTCCTGGGCGAGTGTTTGCAGCCTCTGATAGGGCTCAACCACCAGCTCCAAGGAGGAGCAGGTATCTGATAGCATTTGGCTTCCCAAATCTGCTTCATTTCCCCACGAAGGGGCAGGATGAGCCTGGCTGCTGTCAGGTCCTCGTGCTGGAAGCAGGAGAGGGGAGGAAAGCGCTTGCGAAGGGAGGCACCTCTGCCCCCAAAGACAAGTTTCAGAGCCGTAGGGTTTCCCCGACCAGCGGCGGGGGAAGCACGCTTTGCCATTCCCTTTGCTCCTTGCAGGCCATGTTTGACTGGCTGGATAACGCCGTGATCAAACTCTGCAACATGTCTCCCGTCGGCACTGACCTCAACACGGTTAAGGAGCAGATGAATGAGATGAAGGTACGCGGGCAGAGCGGGACCGGTTCTTGCTTTGCAGCGCAGAGCTTGTGCTCCAGTGATTCATTTTGTTCTGGTTTTTGTCCTGCTTGTTTTGGCAGGAGTTTAAAATGGAGGTTTACCAGCAGCAGATTGAGATGGAAAAGCTTAATCACCAAGGTGAACTGATGCTAAAAAAAGCTACAGATGAGACAGACAGAGACATCATAAAGGAACCACTGACAGAGCTGAAACATCTCTGGGAGAATTTGGGCGAGAAAATTGCTCACAGACAGGTAGAGAGGAGATCTGGTCTTTTCGCAAGTGCGGGGCTGAAACTCGCTGGGATGCTCCCCCTGCTTCACCACTTAAACTTTCCTTTTCCATCCCTGTCCTTGCCCAGCACAAGTTAGAAGCCGCTCTCCTGGCGCTCGGCCAGTTCCAGCACGCCTTGGCAGAGCTGATGGCCTGGCTGACCCACACCGAGGAGCTGCTGGACGCACAAAAACCCATCAATGGAGACCCCAAAGTCATCGAGGTTGAACTCGCAAAGCACCATGTGAGTACTCCCACTCCAGGTCCGTTTTTAGTCTGTTCCTGGTGCAGGATTTTATTTCTCATGAAGGCTTCAAGTCCGTGAGAGCCTGCCGGAATTAACAGGGGGGTTTAGAGAAGCATCCAACACATTCAGAGAGGTTTGCCCAACACTTCTCTCGCAGGTGCTGAAGAACGATGTCCTGGCCCACCAAGCGACCGTGGAGACAGTGAACAAAGCGGGCAACGAGCTGCTGGAGTCGAGCGCAGGGGACGACGCCAGCAGCCTCCGGAACCGCCTGGAGAAGCTGAACTCCTGCTGGGAGTCGGTGCTGCAAAAGACAGAGGAGAGGGAGCAGCAGCTGCAGTCCACGCTCCAGCAGGTACACCCTGTGCAGGGGGTGGCTGCTGAGGGTCTGCTTCCCCCTTTGCTTTGGGAGGAGTTGAAGAGGGAAAGAATTTAGAGAGACGCTGGAATTTTTTTTATGCAAGTTTTTCACGTCACTTTTAGTCCTGGAGTGGTTCAGTGCCTGCCCAGAAGCACGGCAGGGCCCAGGCACACCCGCGTGGTGAAGGATATGCCATGTATACCCCTCCTTCAGGCACTGGTACATCCAGCTCTGCCTTTTTATCTGATTTTGAAGCAAACACAGCGTTAACCCTGGCGCATGATCAATGGTGGCTGATGTCATCTGATCCGTGGCCGATAATATGTTCCCGAACAGGCCCAGGGTTTCCATGGTGAGATTGAAGACTTCCTCCTGTGGCTAACGAGGATGGAGAGCCAATTGTCGGCATCAAAACCCACGGGAGGTCTGCCAGAAACTGCCCGGGAACAACTCAATGCCCACATGGTAATTTCTCAGGAGAGATTTTTAATGCTTTTAATTCAGCAAGCTCCTGTCTGTCAAATACCAGCATTAAAACTTCTCCTTTCTATATCTAATGGGAAGAAGAGTGTTTCTCTGGTCTTTTCGTAGAGATAATTTTGCACTTGATGCCTGGGATGAGCATCGTGATGCTTTAACCACCTTTCTCTGCTCAAAGTGACCCACTGCTGTCACTTTGCTGCCTGCCCTGAATGTAATTTTCTCATCGCCCTGAGTCTCAGCGAGCTGTGGCCCCTCTCCGAGCTCTTCCTTTGTGTAACGTTTGGGTGATGCCTCCCTTGCAGGAGCTGTACAGCCAGCTCAAGGCCAAGGAGGATGTCTACAGCCAGCTGCTGGCCAAGGGGCGACTGATGCTGCTGAACCGCGATGACTCTGGCTCGGGCTCAAAGACAGAGCAAAGCGTAGCACTGCTGGAGCAGAAATGGTGCCTGGTCAGCACGAAGATGGAGGAGAGAAAGGTAAGAGACACTGCCCAGCCTCGCCCCGTGAGCTGCTCTGACAGCACGCGCTCCCTGCTGCACGGCTTGGCTTTCCCGGGAGGGATGGAGCCGCTCAGGGCCGAAGAGGAGGGCTGGGGGGGTTCTTTTAGACAACCCCTCTCTTGGTTGGACAGGTTTGAGTTTGTCTTTCAGATGGTGCTGCCTGAGCGTCAAGCTGTTACTTTTTTTTTTCTAGATAGTCACCAGAGTTAGTTAAATCACACAGAAAATGAGACTGAAAATTTGCATTTTGGGTTAATTTAGAGGAAAGGTGGGAAGAAGCCTCCCGCGGGCTCTGAAAGGCAGGCTTTGTTGGTCCTCGGTGAGACAGCAGGCCAAATCCTCCTCCGAGCTGACTCCAGCCTAGGCTTTTGGCCGGTGATGAGATAAAACAAGGGACGCGGTGGCCTCAGCCCAGAATAAATTTGCAGCGCTGCAGCTGTTGCCATCGAAATATCATCCACCTCATTTACTGAGCCACCCTCCCCACGGCGATCCCTTTCTTGGGCTGAGGGTGACGCAGCTGCTCGTGTGCCGATGAAGATCGCCCCTTTCAGGGATGATTCTTGTTTTGAAAGAAAGCGGTGGCTTTCACGGAAACCCCCTCCCCTTGGTAAACAAGTCGCGTTCCCGGGCCGAGGCGATGAGGTTCCTGTTAGAGGGATGTTTCAGCAGGGACACAAAGGCTGTCTCTGTCTGCGCAACGGCGGATCGTGAGCTCTCACCCTCTGTGTTGTGGGTTTTTTTCCCCCTTCCCTTTCTCCCTCCCCGTTGCGGCAGGCAAAGCTGGAGGAGGCGCTGGCCTTGGCCACGGACTTCCAGAACTCCCTCCAGGATTTCATCAACTGGCTCACGCTGGCTGAGCAGAGCCTGAACATCGCGCCCCCGGCCAGCCTTATCCTCAACGCTGTGCTGGCCCAGATCGACGAGCACAAGGTACCGGTGCCACGAGCCCCCAAATGCTCCCCGGGGTGGAGGGAGCAAGGGTGGCACCTCATCTCCCCTGCACCCACGGGCTGCTCGCAGGCCCGTCCGGCTCCCCTTACAGACACAAGGACACCTTTGCTGTTCACAGGTGTTCGCCAACGAGGTCAACGCTCATCGGGATCGGATCATCGAGCTGGATCAAACTGGGAACCAGCTGAAGTTTCTCAGTCAAAAGCAGGATGTGGTGCTGATCAAGAACCTGCTGGTGAGCGTCCAGTCCCGCTGGGAGAAGGTCGTCCAGCGCTCGGTGGAGCGGGGACGGGCTCTTGATGATGCCAGGAAACGAGCCAAGCAGGTGAGAAAAGTGGGAGAGGTGCAACAGACCCCAAGGGCCAGCCTTGGAGGGCAGGAGGTCCTGAGACAAGCGAAGGGCTGGGGACACCACCAGTGTTAAGTTTCAGACTTACTCCTGTGTCTTTATAGTTCCACGAAGCTTGGAAGAAACTCATTGATTGGCTGGAAGATGCAGAAAATCACCTGGACTCGGAGCTGGAGATTTCCAATGATCCCGACAAAATCAAGCTCCAGCTCTCCAAACACAAGGTAGAGCTTTGCCAAAGCAAGTCTGGTGCTGGACGCTGGGTGGAAGGGTGCTGCGCCGGGAGGGGGAGCAGGGCAGCGTCTCCTCTGCCATCAGGACAGGGGAGAGGCATGTCCAAGCCTACCACTGCCATGGAAAACATCCTGCTGGGGATCTTCACAAGCACCACGTGTCTTCAGAGAGCCAAGGCCAGGCTTTCTGAAGCAGTTTTGTTTTCTCTCTGGTTCCCAGGAGTTCCAGAAGACACTGGGCGGGAAGCAGCCTGTCTATGATACCACCATCAGGACAGGCAGAGCCCTCAAAGAAAAAGCCTTGCTTCCGGATGACACTCAAAAGCTGGACAATTTACTGGGAGAAGTCCGGGATAAGTGGGACACGGTGTGTGGCAAATCTGTGGAAAGGTAAGTCCAGCCCTAACGTTGCACCAGCAGCACTCGTTTGCCAAGGACTTATCGAAGGGGAGAGCAGAGCAGAGATTTCATGGGGTGCTTGGAGAAGGTCACTGGGACATGACAAAAGGAGGTGAGTTTGTTCGTGGCAGTTCACGGGGCTGTTTGCTTTGCAGGCAGCACAAGCTGGAAGAAGCCCTTTTGTTCTCTGGCCAGTTCATGGATGCGCTGCAGGCCTTGGTGGACTGGCTCTACAAGGTGGAACCCCAATTAGCTGAAGACCAGCCTGTCCATGGTGACCTGGATCTGGTCATGAACCTGATGGATGCTCACAAGGTGAGAGCACCTTTTCCAGCTCTTCTCAGAGACATGAGTGGGGCTTGTCTTCCCCAGGAGCCAAAGAGCAGAGGAGCCAGAGTTGGTGCCTTGCTGCAGAGCCGTGTGTCTCGCTGCTCTGCTTTGCTGTGGGAGACAAGGAGAGCAAAAACAGGGCAAAGAAGTGGGAAGAAACTTTTACGTTATGGGAAGGTTATAGGAGCTGGAGCTCTGTCCTTCCGAGCTGCTGTCAGTCAGCTCTGTTGAGGGTTTAGTCTTGAAAAGGTGCCTGAATTTACAGTCCTCTATAAACTTTGGTCTTGGCAGTTCTCTCTGGCGTGTCTTGGTCATACGTTGAAATCCCCGGGCAGGGCTTGGGCCATTCAAGACGGCCGCTGTGTTGCAGCCTGAGCAGGGACTAGAACTTGCCTGCCCCAGGTCCTGACCACTTCTGCCAGGGTGGGAAGCTGGGGCTCCTACCCCAGAACGCACTCAGGAGCTGCCTGCGCTGTCCAGCTCCCTGCCTGCCTGCCCTCCCGTCGCGCCGCGTTGTGGTGGATCCATGATGTGGCTGCGAATCCCATGCTCCAAACTCTTTCAGATGTTCCCTCCTGTTTTGGTTTTTTTTTTCCTCCCCCACATGAAACAACCTGCTGGGACTGACTAGCCCTGCTTGACTGCTGCCCTCTCTCCCTCCAGGTCTTCCAGAAAGAGCTGGGGAAGCGCACGGGGACAGTCCAGGTGCTGAAACGCTCCGGCCGGGAGCTCATCGAGAACAGCCGAGACGACACGACCTGGGTGAAGGTGCAGCTGCAGGAGCTGAGCAACCGGTGGGACACGGTGTGCAAGCTGTCCGTGTCCAAACAAACCCGCCTGGAGCAGGCCTTGAAGCAGGTGAGCAGAAGGTTACGGGTAGAAACGACCTCACAGAGTTTTGCTGGGCTCCGGGTTTATGCCAGGAGGTCAACACAAACCTCACGGAAGAGGCTTTGCCCAGTGACTGATCTCCTGGCCAAGCAGGACACCCCAGCCCTGCAGCAGGTACCAGTGAGAACTGCAAAGCCAGTTATTTATTCTTTTCCCCAAAGAAGAGCCAAAAAAAGGCTGATTTGAAAAGGGAAAATGAAAAGATCTCACTGATATGCACAGCAGGAATAGAGTGGTGATCAGAGACTGTCCAGGCTGGTGTTTGCTAATGTCTAGTGCAAGAGAAAGACCCAGGTTGAAGCTAATTAAAAAAAAGGTGAAAGTAGTTTTTATGTCAAGCAGGCAGTTTACAGAACAAACTACCCAGGTGCCAAAGTGGTCAGAGCGCAGGTAGTTGTTTTTAAAAACATTTAGTTGTTCAGTGCAGCTGACGCCGAGGGGAGGGGGGTGCCCGGCCGTGGTGGGACCCATCTGCTGGTGCTGCACAAACCCAGGCCAACAGACAAGGCTTTTTCACCCCCCTTTTAAAATTTATCTATAAAGTCCCTTTCAGCCCTTTGTCCTGTCCAGCTGAGCAGTGAACGGAGTGGCCCGTTTCGGGAGGAGGAGGGCTAACACTTCTGCTCTTGTGGCTGCAGGCAGAGGAGTTCAGGACGGCCGTGCAGATGCTGCTGGAGTGGCTCTCGGAGGCAGAGCAGTCCCTGCGCTTTCGGGGAGCGCTTCCCGACGACGCCGAGGCCTTGCAGTCCCTCATCGACGCGCACAAGGTAGCGGGGAGCTCCGAAAGGCAACCCGAGCAAAATGTCTAGGGGTCGATACTGCAAAATAAATTCATTTGGGCCTTTTTCAGGAGTTCATGAAGAAAGTGGAGGAGAAGAGAGCGGATGTGAACGCGGCGGTGGGCATGGGGGAGGTCATCCTGGCCGCCTGCCACCCCGACTGCATCACCACAATCAAACACTGGATCACCATCATCCGAGCCAGGTTTGAGGAGGTGAGTCCTTTGTTCCGGGCTGATGGCGAGAGGGGCGGGTAGACACCACCACCACCAGGGATGGCCACGGGGAGGTGGTTCCTGCGCCAGGTTTCCCACGCTGGACTGACACTGCCTCTGTGTTTCCAACAGGTCCTCACGTGGGCGAAGCAGCACCAGCAGAGGCTGGAGGCTGCGCTGTCCGAGCTGGTGGCGAACGCAGAGCTCCTGGAAGAGCTCCTGGCTTGGATCCAGTGGGCTGAGACAACCCTGATCCAGCGGGACCAGGAGCCCATGCCACAAAATATTGATCAGGTCAAAGCCCTCATCTCCGAACACCAGGTGAGCCCAGTGCTGAACGCAGCAGGCGCTCAGGAGAAGGGCAGGGGGGTGGATTTTCCTACCCCTCCATGGAGGAGGCAGTGACTTCTCTTGGAAGTCCCTGTTCAAACAGCATGTGGCCCAACCAGAGCTGTCACCTGGGAGCAAAGTCAGCCCAGGGGATGATCTCCAGCATCTGCAGATCCAAGCCACAGCTTGACCCCAAGCCCCCCTCGCTTAACACTCGCGTCCCTGCTTGGGCTTGGCACATCCCAGCGAGGATCTGGAGCAACGGGAGACCACAAATAATCTTGAAACTGCAAAGGTTTTCTTGTCCCTTCTGTATTTTGACAGTCCTTCATGGAGGAGATGACACGGAAACAGCCAGACGTGGACCGGGTCACAAAGACATACAAGAGGAAAGCTACTGAGCCCCCCCACGGGCCTTTCATCGAGAAGTCCCGCAGCAACAGTATGTGTCCGCTCGATACAGCTTTCAGTGAAACGTGCTACCGTGGGAGGAAATGAAACGCATAGGAAACTAATTAACTTTGATTATCAATTAACAAGGCATCCTGCATTGACGGGCACCAGGAAGGCAATTGAAACTTGTCGGGAGGGGAAGATCCAGGTGGCATTTGCCAAAACACCCGTGCTGGGGGAAGCTTGTGCTGTCACTGCTCTTCTCTTTCTCTCTGCAGTTGCTTTGTGATGAGGTTTTGGGGCCTTTTTTTATGTTGTTTCTCGAAGCCAGAGTCCGATGTGAATTCCCAAGTGCAAAGGGAGCACTGAGGGTGGGAGTTGGGTGTAGAGCCATCCATCACTCCGTCCTCCTACCTGGGGACGCTGCATCCCTTTGCAGAGCAGCCAGCAAGGCCGCGGGAGGTTTTCTATTTGAAAAATAAGATTTATTTCATTACTGCTCTTTCCCGGACCGCTCAGACTTGCTGAACCCATCCACACCACCTCAAGCCAATTCCTTTTCTCCCTTTTTCCAGGAAAATCTTTGAGTCAGGCCGCCCCCCCCAGCGTGCCCATTATCTCCCAGTCAGAAACAAAGAACCCCCGGATAAACCAGCTCTCGGCCCGCTGGCAGCAGGTCTGGCTGCTGGCGCTGGAGCGGCAGCGGAAGCTCAACGATGCCCTGGACAGGCTGGAGGAGGTAACGGCCACCGGCGGCTCAGGGCAGGGAGCGGGGAGCAGTACCGGGGGTTGAGAAGCATTTTAAATTCATGCTGCCTCTTGGATTGCCCGGCTCTTGCAGATGGTTATTGCTGCCTTTCTGAAAATGCCAAAAGAAAAAAAAAATATTCCTAAAATATTAAGGCAGAAAACTACCTTCTGTAATTAACTGCACATTAATGAACTGTTTTGTGGCCCTGCAGTCGGTATCTGTAGAGGTAATGACAGCCAGGCCTGCTTTACTCCTAGTAATTAGTTTTAACAATTACTGTCTATATCTTTTCCAAACATCTAATGTAATTTTTGTTTTTATTTACGCTTAACAAAGCAGCTATGCCCAGAAGTGAGTGTTTTTGTTTTTTGTTGCTTTTGCTGTAGGTCAGTTCAGTTTATACGTATTAATGTTTTTTCTTTGTTGCTTTGAACTCCAAGAATGTTTAGAGAGGGGAGGAAAGAAAAAAAAAAAAAAAAGCGCTAAAAATTGTTGATTACCTTGCTGTGAGCTGCTTGAGCTGGTGGGGTTGTGGAAGTCCTGTCAGGGGGGGATTAAATGGGTGTTAGTTTAAACTGGAGGGTGACTGGCTCGTCTGAGGCTGGTGGCAGAGGCGCAGGGCTGGGTTTTGCAGAGCTGAGATGTTCCCCAGGCACTGTCTTACCTGGAGGATGAGCAAGAAATCCCTCCTCAGCTCCTTAGATGGAAAAGGAGAGGGGAAACACGTGCCCAAAATGGGGCCAACAATGAGTATTCCTCCTGGGCAGAGCCTGGCAAGTCGTTGGGCGAAATCCCAGGTGAGGAACCATCCCCAAATGCCCGAGCAGAGACTGGGGGGGGGACGAGGGGTGTGTGTGTCTGTGTGCAAGTAGCTGATATCTCTGCGTATGTGTACGTACGGCAGCGTGGGGGTTGCTGCATCCCGTGTCGATGATGCGTGGTCCCCGTGGTGGCTGTCGCCTACGCTGTGTGTCCTTCTGTTCTGGAAAAGTCCATTGGAGCAGCCCCCTCGTTACTGGGGCTTGTCTGGATAAAGGGGGGGGGGGTGTTAACGCCAGGAGCTCGGGCACGGGCTGACCTGGAGGCCGGTGGTTTAGGGTGCTGTAGAGCTGGGGGTGCTGCTCCTTTCGGGGATTTCCCCCGCTGACTCTCACAAATTTCCTTCCAGTTGAAGGAATTCGCAAACTTTGACTTCGATGTCTGGCGGAAGAAGTATATGCGCTGGATGAACCACAAGAAATCCCGTGTCATGGATTTCTTCCGGCGCATCGACAAAGACCAGGACGGGAAGATCACCCGGCAGGAGTTTATCGACGGCATCCTGGCCTCTAGTGAGTCCCGCTCTGCCTGAAACCAGCTCAGCAAATGGCCATCTCAGTGTGACAAGAGGTTGTCCCTGCTCGAGGACTGAGGGGCAGCTCCGACACCTCTGATACCAGAGTGAGGTCCCTGCGTCAGTCACTCATTTCTCTCTTTTTCCAGAATTCCCCACCACGAAGCTGGAGATGACGGCGGTGGCTGACATCTTTGACCGTGATGGCGACGGCTACATCGATTACTACGAGTTTGTGGCTGCTCTCCATCCCAACAAGGATGCCTACCGCCCCACCACTGATGCCGACAAGATCGAAGATGAGGTAAAACACCAGAAGCGATGGGTGTTTGGAAAAAAAAAAAAAAAAAAAAAAAAAAAAAAGGATTGTGATGGTGCTGAGCCCAAAATATTTGACTGGTACTGCCAGTACCTACCATGTTTTTGAAGGAAAGGCTGCTTGTTATTCAAGCAGTGCCTTGTATTTGGGGGAGGATCCCCAAAACCTGAGGTAACTCTGTTGTTGGTGATGGCAGGTCACCAGGCAAGTGGCCCAGTGCAAGTGCGCCAAGAGATTTCAAGTGGAGCAGATCGGCGAGAACAAATACCGGGTAAGGCTGAGGGGGCCAAACGCTGCCCCGGCAGCACAAACCCTGCTCCCCCTTCCCACTCGGGGGGGCGCCGATCGCCGCCGGGGTGCCCAGCCTGGCGGCGGGGGACCCCCCTGGGCTCCCCGGGGTGAGATGGAGACCTCGTCCTCCGGCTCCCGGCGGAGGTGGCTGGGCTGTGTTTGCCCAGCGTCATCCTCAGCCCCAGGGCGTTCCCCGAATCGGGAGAGCATAAAAGTGCCCCTGTTCTGGGCCCGCCGGCCCCGTGAAACGCCGCATTCACTGCGCCGCCAGCCGCCCTTGAAGTTTTCCTCGTGGATGAGTGTACCTTACGCCTGTGTTTTTCTTAGCTCGGTCCCGAAGAAGGGAGAATAATTTCCTTAAAGAATCTCTTTGTAACGGGCTCGCTGTTTATGTTTCAGATCGTTCACCGAGGTGAACTGGTGACAGGAGCTGGCAGCAGCGCTGCCGCTTTCCTGCCCGATGCTTTGGGGGCTGATGCTCCGGCTGGGAGGAGCCGAGCTGCAGCCCTCACCCCCCCCCCAAACCCCCGGCTGCACCAGCCCAGGCTCCCCGAGCTTCTACCCTACCCCCAAATAGCATAAACCCCACGGATTTCTAACTACCTGCAGTTAACAGTTTTCATGGTTATTGCACTGTTAATCCCATAAATGTTTTTCTTGTTTTTTCTTTCCCCTCCTTTTCCTCTTGACTTGCCTTCCCCCCCCACCATTCCCCATCCCTTCTCCCTCCACAACTCTTCTCTCTCCATAGTTCTTCCTCGGCAATCAGGTACAGTTTGCCTTGCAATGCTGTCTCTCACCTCTTTTTATTTATTTAAAAAAAAAAAAAAAACCAACGTAGCTTTGTGTGCCTGTGATGCTGCTCTGTCCTTTGTTGCTGTGGGAGGATGTGATCTGTGAGCACTGCTCAGCAGAGCCTGGTACAGGGGAGTGCCTGAGCTGGGAGGGCCACCCCCCAAAAAAAAGACTGCACTGGGCAGAAAAAAGGGAAAAGTTCCATGGAAAAAGCAGGATTTGACAAAAATGGACAGATTTTTCTCTCCGTGGCTACTTTCTCGGATGCATTGGGCGTGTTGATGGGAACCGGGTGAAATCACGGGGGTACAACTACCTGCACGAGGGCTGTACCAGGCTCTGGGTGGGTTTGGATCGCAATCACCGTGGAATGAGAATGCCGAGTCCTCCCCTTTAATCCCCTGGGTAACGATAACTAAACCCTCATCCCTGCTACACCCACTGAGTAACTCCTAACTGGAGCAAGGCTCGCAAAACCTGCATGTGTCCCCGCGACCCGGGATGAGCGGGGCAGCGTGCCCGAGTGTGGCTGGTTGGAGGGGGGGCAGAGCTATTTTATTTTATTTTATTTATTTATTTTTATTTTATTTTATTTTATTTTATTTTATTTTATTTTATTTTTTTAACGGGACTGAGGCATCAGGTGTTGTTAAGGTGTGCCCACTGCCCCCGCTCGAATAGAAAAGCATCTTTTTCATGTGGAATGATGGTGCCCTACCAAAAAAACATGCCCAAAAGGAAACAGACTTGGATGCTGGAAGTGGATGGATCCAAGAGAGCTCTGGCTTTAATTTAGGCAGTTGATTAGAGAAACGTTTTCAACAGCAACCAAAAAATAACGTCCCTGTGGCAGCGGAAATGAGAACTGACTTGTTCCTGGTGCAGAACTAGAGCCCGGAGAGAGGGAAGGCGGCTCCCCTGCCCTCTCCCTGCCCGCGGGCACCGTGGCCGTGCCCAGTGTGGCTCTTTGCTGGGACCGGCACGTTTTGGTAGGACCCCCGAGCAGGGAGACCCCCCCAGTGCACAGCCCAGGGTCCCATCTCCCTGCGGGAAGGAGGGTCAGAGATGCTGTTACCTCCTTCCCCTCCACCTGCCATGACCCGTCTCAGCGTGGCTTTGCACTCTCTGTTTTCATTTAATCTCTCGGGTTTTGCGCCCCAGGGAAAATGTTGCTGCTTTTTTTTTTTCTTTTCTTTTTTTTTTTTTTTTTTTTTTTTTTTTTAATTCATCTGAAGATGGTCTCGCTCTCAAAGCCTGGTTCCCCCGTTCTCTCATCGCAGCAGGTAGACCTGGATGCAGAGCTGCTACATCCGAGCCAGGTTCCCGGTGTCCTGCGCCAGCTCTGCCACCTGCCCGGTGCAGAGGGCAACCAGGAGCCTGGACCTGGCTGTCCAGGAGATTTAGGGAGCTTTGAAAAACAGACACGTGCTTCTGATTCAGGGTGCACTTGTTTGATATCGCAGGTGTTTAAAATCACTAATGAACATTGCAATCACTAATCAACATTGCTGCGGGATTCCTGCCTGGATTCCCATCACTCTGCGCTCACCGAAACATCCTCACTGGGTGATCTCTGCGGCGGGGGCTTTCTGGCTGGTGGGGTCAAGTCTGAGGCTCAGTGAAATCCCTGGGCTTCAGACTTGATGATGAGAGGTTTCTGGCTCAGCGGTGACGCAGCACTGCTTGCCTCGCTGATTCACCAGCACTCGGGGGGCTGAATCAGCCGACTCTTTTCCACATGGGCTGCACCAGGAGGGTGATTGCATTGCCAGCCTCTATTTCCTTCAAAATAAAAGGACGAAAATACAATTTTGGCTGATAAAACCTATCCAAAGACCAAATTCCAAAATCTTATTTGCTGCTCTAAAAAATTCTCCTCCCAGCTTTAAAACTAAAGCGTTTGGATAGCGGCATCATCTTAAAACCGCGCAGCAGAAAAACTCCTGTAAACTGGTACTGGCCTGCGCTTATCCCAGAAGAACCTCTCTGGGGAGAATTTAGAGGTATTCAGTAGATGGATAAAGGCATTTGGTGCAGCCTGCTGTGAGAAGGAGCCAAGCGTCCCTCGTGGTGTCCCCCTTGTCTGAACCGTTTCTCGGCCCCGCAGTTCGGCGATTCCCAGCAGCTGCGGCTGGTCCGGATCCTGCGGAGCACGGTCATGGTTCGCGTCGGGGGAGGATGGATGGCCCTGGATGAATTTTTAGTGAAAAACGATCCTTGCAGAGGTAAGGCAATTCCTGGGGTTTATACAACTCCTGTCTTCTCGCCCGGTAAGGGGAGTTTGAGAACTTGGTCTGCTGTCACTGTGAATGACCAGAGAGGGTCTGAGTTATCCAAGTAACAGGCAGGAGCTGGAGGAAACGGATCCAGAGCAAACTACAGGACTTAAAATCATGAAATTTGGCAACACTGGATCAACTCTCGCAGCGTTTAGCCAGGTGTCTTGGGAGCAGGAGAAGGATGGGTTGTGTTTCTTATTTTTAAGACCGCGGGGAGCGGAGCTGCACTGCCGTGCTGGGGGTCTCGGCTTCTCTCTGAAGCCGTCGGTGTGTACGTGTGGCTGTGGGTGATGGAGCGAGCTTGATAAAGGTGACCTGACAGAATTGAAAAGGTTTAAAGCCGGGAGATGGTAAAATCCTGATCAGAGACACTCTGGGGAGAAGATGCTCTGGCCCAAGGTCTGTGAATCTGTGGTACTGCCCCACAGGGCTGTGACCACGGGGCACTGACGGTCCAGCTCGTCCTAGTGAGTAAGGAGAATTTCTCCTGTCACTTTGAACTGCTCGATTTCTCTCTGATGTATTTCTCACACAAGTTTTCTCAGCTCCTTTTGTCTTTGGAGCAGTGGCATAAGGAACTAATCTGGAAACCCCGAGGCGTGCAGTACCAGGCACCTTAAATACCTGTTTGCAGCGAGAGGTGCTGCTGGTGCTGGGTCTTCTAGTGCCTTAAATTAACTTTCTTCCCCCAGCTCTGCCCGTGAGGGTGGAATGTGGCCCCCCTTCTTTTTTCCAGATTCCCACGTGTCAGATTAGAGTTGTAAAAGGGGGTGCCTTCGGACATTGTTGTCTGTGGGGCTGTTCAGGGCTGGGCTGGATTTCTTTAGGGGATTTTGTGCACCACAGCCTGCTGTAAGTGTGTCAGTAAGTGTCACCTTACACAAGTGTGTCCCGGGGATTGACCGGCCCAGCACTGAAAGAAAAAAGATGTTTCAGTTCAGCATTTAAACAGGAAAATTCAGGTGCAAGAAGCTCCTGGATGAACTGAGCTTAAGGAAGACGCAGCAGCACGTTGGAAGGGAAGAACCACCCAGATTTGGGGTTTTTAGGGCTGAGCAGGGTTTGGTGGGAGCTCGTTTGGTGGCACACGTTTGGGAGGGATGGTTGGGATAACGCAGGCTGGGGTCACATAGCGTGGGTGCAGAGAACCGGAGTCGCCTCCTTTCCAGAACCTTCTGACTTGAGGTTTTATCGTGCCCGGAGCTGGGGGCTGGAAGCGACTCTCCGCTGCGATGGGCTGAGAGTTGTGACCGGGGGACAGAGAAGGATTAGCCGGGGGGGCTGGCCAGGAGCGAAGTGCATCAGGGCTGTGTGTTTTGGAGAGCTTAGGTCTGTGCTCCATATGTCCCCGTCTCGCTGGGGTCTCCGAGATGTTAACTGCTTCGGATATGTCTTCCTCAAGCTGCTGCCTACCCGCTCCTTGCTCCTGCTGTCCCACGCTGTTGCTGAAAGCAGCAGGATTTACAGCCTGTGCCGCTGGCTCCGGGGAACCTCCAAGGTTTTCCTGCTCCTCCAGCCTCCCCCGTTCATGCTTTGCAGCAGATGTTTTACAGCGCTGACATCGAGGTTATTTCCATCCCTTGGTTATCTAGCGTGGTGCTTCCCTTCTCCAGTTGCTTTCTTGGCTTTCTGGTCCATCATGTATCGACTCCCGTGTCCCCTAAGGGTCGGTGCATGCCCTTTGCTCTCTCTTTGAACACCGTGAGCATGAAACACACGTCAGCTGGCCCAGGAGCTGAAGTCCACAGACTTTCTGCCCGCTGGGTTGCCCCTTTCTTGTCGGAGGGAGACCCTCCAGCTCTCTGAGGCGTTTCAATGAAAATTTTAAAGTTGGCTTTTAATAGTGGTCGCTTTTCTCTCACCTCTCCCCAAAAATTGCTGCAGAGCTGCCCAGAGCTGTGAGAGAGCAGAATCTCAACCCTTCAAAGCTGCTTTTACTCTTTTTAAGCCATGTTAAAGGTGACACTGGCCACTGTTGTAACATGGTTGTGTTTAAAAACCATCAGGATGCTTTCCCCGAGACCCAAGAGAATAATAGAGCATCCAGTATGAATTCGTGGGCCTCAGGCAGCTCTTAGTTGGCCAATTTCTCCAAGAGCTGATCCATGGGAGGAGGTGGTTAGGGCAGAGCAGGGAGATGGGCTTGGGGAGACATCGGGAGGACACGTGCTCCGACCCCTGGAGCCTCCTGAGCCCTGGTAACGATGTTGGATTCGTTCAAACCTCAGGTCTCCTCTCCTTTGTCCCCTTCCAGCACGAGGACGAACCAACCTTGAACTCCGAGAGAAATTCATCTTGCCAGAAGGAGCCTCCCAGGGAATGACGCCATTCCGGTCGCGAGGCCGAAGATCAAAACCCTCCTCCCGAGCAGCCTCCCCGACACGATCCAGTTCCAGCGCCAGCCAGAGCAACCACAGCTGTGCCTCCATGCCATCCTCTCCCGCCACTCCGGCCAGCGGAGCCAAGGTGGGGCTCGCGCGCGGCACCTTCCTCCCTCCTCTCCTTTAGGAACCAGCAGCCTCCAAACCCCTCCCAGAGAGACCAGGAGCTGCAGGTGTATGGAGGAGGAGGAGGAGGAGGAGGAAGGTTGGGGCTTGATGGTTACTGTGGTCTCTAGGTGACGCTCGGGGTGTCTGCAGGGAGAAGCCCGCTGTCCCTGCGGGGTGGGGGGTGGATGGTGCAGGACAGGTTTTCAGCCCAAGTGTGGATGCTCGTGGCTCCTCAGGAGGGTCCCCGGCGCTCGTCGTGCAGCCGAAGGCTCCTGGTCCCCCAGGCAGGGCCGGGCCACAGCCTGGCAGGAAGAAGCCATCACCCGTCGTCTCTCCCACCACATCATTCACCCATGCACGGTTTATTTCATCACCCATTTGGGTTTTTTCCCTTTCTTTTAATTAATATATTTCCTGTTTGGTTCTCGTTTCGGTTTAGTGCCGTTTTCTCCCCATTCCAAATACTTTTCCATTTCTTTTTTTTTTTTTTTTAACTCACTCCTACCTCTCCCTCCCCCTCTCCCCTCCCCTTCCTTGGATTTTCCATTTCACAGACTCCACATCACTTCTCTCGATGTTATGACAAACCCTGGTTGATAAACAGTAAAGCGGGCACCCCTCTGAGGGGATTCGATTATCCCGACTTCCAGCTCCCGAGCGCCGAGGTAGAGTATGGTCTCGCAGCCCCGAGGACCTGCTGACAGGCCGGAGTGCCACTGGCATGGAGACGTTCCTGCTCCCCTGCCTGTTTTAACGCTTTCCTTGTGGTAGAGCAGCGCTTGTTAGCACCGCCAGCACTCGGACTGTTAGCGTTTTTCATGGGTTTCTAACTCGGATTAAATAAAACATAAAGCACGGTGGCTTGCAACTCACATTCACCTGCTTTCAAACAGAGAGAGCGACATTTATCCTCTTGTGCTTAAAAAAAAAAAAAAAAAAAAAAATTAAAAGCTTTTAAGCATGGGAAAGCAGCTGTGTTTGGCTTTTAAAAATTCGAAATCCGGCAGCCGAGTTGAGACTTGAAAATCAGCTACAGCGCATGCACAGTAACCACGTCGCCTTCATTTTTATGAAGCGCTTGTTTTTATCACCGTGTTGAAGCACGTCTGGTGTGTCCGGCACTGTCACCAGCTTGATGCTCCCAGGAGGATGAATTCAGGATGAGATTTTGATCTCCCCTAAAGTTTCAGCCTCCCTGTGGACTTTCCTGACCTTGTGAATCGGCGATGAGAAATACTGGGTAGATCTCGGTGATTCACTGGCGAAATAACTGCGTTTTGCTCGGGGGTGCTTTCACGCAGAAAAGGAATTATTTTTTAAATCGTCAGAAGGTTCAGAAGCACTTCCCCAGTTGCTCTAAATTGCCTGCTTGCTGCTGTTAACATGTTCATAAAGTAGGATCGAGGACGAGAATCGAAACCTCCGATGGCGGACGTGGTGCCTTCGCAATCACGTGTTCATGGATTTGAATTCCTGCGGTGCCCCGAGGGGAGCCCCCTGCCCGGCTGCCCCTCTCCCACCCCCCTCTCCCCCACTGCAGCTCCAGTTTCATGACATTATTTCCCAGTTTCCCCCCAAAAATCGCAAAATTGCAGGGGACGGAGAGAAATCTCCCCAGCTGTTGCTTTGAGGCTCATTGGGAAATGCCCTCTGGTGTTAGCGTAGGTCTGTGCGGGGATGCAGCAGGGCTGGAGCTGTCCCTGCAGCGATGTCCCCGTGAGCCCCGGGGGACGGGGGACACCCCGCAGCGCTGCCCCAAATGCGAGAGCTTTGGTTGGTGTCCAGAAACTGGAGCTGCCCTTTCCAGCTGGATCCAGGTGCCCTCGCCCTGCCGGCACCTTCCCCTCCGCTTTTCCTCCGCAGCGGCGGGAGCAGAGCTGCCTCTTGCGCTGCTTTCCCTGCGTTTTGCAACATCTTAAAGGTCAGGGAAAGCACCGTTTCAGGAGGCGACCGCAGCTGAGTCGCCGTGGTTTGTGTCCCTGTTTGTCACTGGTGGCCTCGCTCTTAAAATTTGTCTGCCCTTGGGTGCGTGGACCCCCGCCCCGGGGCAGCGGGGTGAGGTCCCTCCACCTCGCAGTCACCCTGTGCTGATGCCTCCCTCCAGGGGGACGCGTTTCTCACGACACCCTGTTGCATTTGACCTTCCAAAATGGTCCTGTGAGCTGCTTAGATGCCAAAATACTTAATTTTTACAAGATTTCACGTTCTCTTTGTGGAGCTTTTGAACCCAGATGACGCTGTCCTCTGGCTGGATAGCAGCTTTGCTCTTAAGATTTTTTTTTTTTCCCAACAACCACCTGTGCATCAGCCCGCGGCGCACGAACTGCCGTTGCCCTCCAGATTTTCAGGATCCAAGCTTTTTTCTTTTTTGATTCACCGCTGCTGAAACGACAACTTGTGTTCTCCTTGACCATTAAGATGGGTGTTCCTTAAACATCCAAAGCTTTTTCGCCGAGGTGCTGATCTCGGGCGTGATCTTGACCCGTTACAGCCCAGGTGACACCTGAAAGATGCTCTGTGTGTGCTTCCTCCCAAGGTGACCCCCTCGGCGGGCAGCAAGCTGAAGCGACCCACCTTCCACTCCAGCCGAACCTCCCTGGCTGGGGACACCAGTAACAGCTCCTCACCCGTCTCTACAGGTGCCAAAACCAGTCGGGCAGGTAAGTTAGGTGTAAAAACCCAAAAAACTCCGGCCGCTGCTCTTCCTGCTTGCTTAAACTGGCAGAGAAAATAATATTTTGGGAGCTTGCAGCGAATGGAGGGGGCTGATGGCCACTGCTGTGTCCTGCCTGGGAGAGGAGATGCTGCAGCGGTTTTGCAGCGCAGATGCTGCGGCTTTGTTAAAATCTCAGAAATAAAACAACAGTTCTGGTGCTGAACCCCCCGATCCAGGGGTGCTGGGGGGGTGGTTGGAAGCAGCCCAGGGATGGAGAGGAATCCTCCTCCTCCTCCTCAGCCTGCTCACAGCGCTCTCGGCTCCCCTCGCAGATCCTAAAAAAACAGCCAGTCGTCCCACCAGCCGCGCCGGGAGCCGCACGGGGAGCCGGGCCAGCAGCCGCCGGGGGAGCGACGCCTCCGATTTTGACCTTCTGGAAACGCAGTCGGCGTGCTCGGACACTTCGGAGAGCAGCGTGGCCGGCGGGCAGGGCAGCTCACGCCGGGGGATGGCCAAACCCTCCAAAATCCCAACCATGTCCAAGAAAACAACCACTGCCACCCCAAAAACTCCAGGCCCTAAAAGATAATACTGTACCCACGCCCTCCTGAAAGAAAGAAAATACAACCTGTGTCCAATTTTTAACCCTGCTACGTACATTGGATGTATATTTATTCTAAATGGGAGAAACTATATTGTTAAAAGTGTAAAAGAAAGTTGTGTTATGAAGCTGCCTTATTTGGGTTTTTTGTTTTGGGGTTTGTTTTTGTTTTTTTGGTTTTTTTTCCTTTTTTGTAAGTTACTATTTTCATGTGAATATTTATGTAGATAAAAATTGCCTCTCGGTGACCCCTGTTCAGAGAGGGGCCTGGAAAACTGAAATGTGGGAGAGAAAGAAAGAGAAAAAAAAAAAAAAAAAAAAAAAAAAAAAAAAAAAAAAAAAAAAAAA